TTTATGTTGAATGCTTGTATGCGTTGTACTTCTCTCGGCTGTCCCGGCACTGATGGTCTCTCTTGTATAATCGTATTCCGTCGATCAGTCCCTTCACAGAAGGGAAGATTCCCCTATTTGACCATCCCTAATGAATCGTCAGCCATCCGCGGCCGTGTACTCGCTGCCTTTATCCGAACTTCTTTATGCAGCCTCTTACGGAATTTTACGAGTTTTCTAAGCTAAGAAGTGTCATTACTTCAGCTGGAACCGTTCCCCTTGTAGTCGGGTGAAACTGGAATTCTTGTCAAACGCTTTGCAACAATATTGTTGAGAGTGAGTTCATGGCGGATATGACTCCATTGCTCCCGATCTCTTAATTCCGCTTCCTCACAACACATCAAAGTCCATGGTTTCGTCAGAGGGCGAGATACTACGCGGTTGCCCAAACCGAAGTAGGGTGTTGACTTAAGGGATACCACCTCGAGCCTTTGGCTGAATAGCCTGCCCGCAAGGCAGCGGAGCGAATTCATGGAATCACGCCCACTGAGAGCCGACGACTGATTGCTTAGTTTATAGGCCTTTCGTTTGTTCCTTTGTCAAACAGGGGCCCAATGCTCCCCAGGATTATAGCGTAAAGTTACTGGAATACAATGCTTCGCCAGGATGAAGCAAGGGACAGTGTTGTTAGACGGACATATGTGGTTTTTTATAGGGAGAACGCTTGCCAGGCGAAAACCCACCACCTCCTGGAACACTGCCGCCGAACCATTTGCTGGAACGGGAAAATCTCGAACCACCCAGCTGGTACCATGAGGAGGTTGTTCGATAAGCTAGCCGCTTCCTCAGAGAAGGATGTTTGCAGTTCAGGAACTCTGTAAACAATAATCGTTCGTCATGTTTCGGAGGTGAGAGAAGACCGTGTGATAAGAAAATGGGAGCTGAATATTCTCTGGTATTTCGTGATACGCTTGAGGTTTGCCTACTCGGGCGATTGGTGCATATATCCGAAATTGACCCAACGGTCTTCTTGACTTTTTCAAACTATTAAGTTTTCGGTGGGGACACGGTTGGCATATCTAGTACGAAGGCGGAAACATCTTCATTGCCGTACATATTTAAATCTGATGAGTTGCCGTCGGAACCAGGAGTTCTGGTAGACCGCAGTGGGTTAATCGTAGGGCCAATAATGCCGGAATACCGTCGCAGTATCCCTAACTCACGTGTGGACAGTTGTGGTTGTGCTGCAACGAGGCGTCGGTACTGCCTACCGGCGTACCGCCGATACCTTTCAATAATTCGAATGTAGTGGTAAAATAACGTGATTTGTTGCGTAAACGTTAGACGAGATTTGAGATGCTTTTCCATTACAGAAACACTCAGCGGAGAGTACACTAAAGATCTCTGATTTGGCGTCATTCTAGTGTGATAGTATCAGAATTTAGGTATGCTTGTTTTCCCCCTCTCTTTTCAGTGAAGGAATCCGCTCACATGTCTTGATTGTGCTTTGTATGACTCACTCTGCTTTTTTCGCTGGAGGTTGATATTTGTTTTCGCATTCGCTCCAGCTACAAGTCTATTGAATCCAGAGTACGTTCAAGCTAATGTGCAAACTCGTCACCTTTGTTGATCAGAAATAGAGAACTTAACTGGAAGCTTTGCTAAGTCTTCTTAATGTGGATAGTAAGCATTGTTGAACACATCTCTTTCTTGTGGTGAGAGCTATCAGTTGCATGTCAATAGAAAGGAAACAAGCGATCCCAATTCTGAGATCAGAGCAAGACGGAGAACTAATCTGTTTATTTGGGGGGGGGGGTTCGGGTGGACGTTCGAGTGTATCTTTTATTGTGCTTGCGGGTTTATGGCATTTATTTTGCAGTTTACTAATTTGTGATCACTTCCTCGGTAATTGCTCATTCCATCCTTATCAATACAAATAGTCTAGTTTACTTAGTAGAAGTACATTTTTCAGAGAAGTTAAGTGTGCTTCCCATTTGATACGCGGCTAAACTAGTCAGCCCTGTCATAATGAGACTGGATTTTATCGGTTTGCGTACCTTTCCGACCAACTGAGCTATACTTCTCGGTACCCGTGGGCTTCTTGAGAGGTTAGTCAATGGTTAAAGGTCAGATGTACTCAGTCCTCCAGATTTGGGGTTGTAATTGAGATGGCGTTCATTTCTCCAAAATCGAATCATTTCCACAATCTCACTACCTACCTTGCGGAAAGGTTTTTGAACCGAAGGCTATGGTTGAGTACTATAATCGCCCACTTTATAGGGTTTTTGTTGCGCGTTCAAAGTGTTATTGCGCAACAAAATCCCGATAATGTTGGTATTTAGTGAGGCGTTGCTAATTGAGGTCCATCCACTTATGCTATGTGCACAGGAATTCTATGAGGCAATCAATTCGGTCGCCTTGGTCTTGACTGTAACGTTTTACTTGGTGTTGCTTAATGTTCCATGTATACAATCGTTTGTGTGTTCCTGCTCGCATTGTGTTTACGACTGAAGGGAATAATCGAAAAATTGATATATCGCAACCTGTTTCCTCTTTGCCTTGATGAGATCATGAATATCACAACAACAATCACTCACATCCTGCATCGGCCGTCACGCAGCCTTACATAGGTCGCCTTATTTGTTAGCGCTTCCATTCTTTTCCACTTGTTTCTGTTGCTACCCTCTCGACCCTCGTTCTTTCGCTAACTTTGAACTGGAATTGTCAGCTGTCGCAATACCACCGGCAGTTCTACCATCTGCAGCTATCTTCCCGCATCACTCTGTGGTGCGGCAATCGCCAACAGCCTCTTTTATAAGGTTGCGATATCCCGTTTCCCTTGCGCGTTCAACATTCGCACTCCAAGACAAATGGGTCAGCACACACGTTGGACACGCTGGGTATTGAAGTGTGTTGCTTGTCGGAAAGTATGATCAATGGCCCTCACGGGGTTGTTGAGCTAACTGCGCCCGGCCTGCCCTCTCGCTATTGGTTACTCGTATCCAGAGACGCTGACGCGACAACCACTCGTCAAGCTGGGATGGGCATCGCTTTCAGCTTCAAGGTAGAGTTGTCGTTGGCTGTTTGGATTCTTGATCATCCGTTTATAGGGTGCCCGTTTGACGACATCCACCAATGTCGATTCACAAAGTGTTTGTATTTTCCGCTTATGTCCCACTGACTGCAGTTCTGATGCTTCCAGGAATGCCTCCTACCACGAAATGAGTGCACCACAACGCAGTCACCAATTCAGATGTTGTTGTTGTTGCAGTGGATATGAATGCGGGAGTAGTTCATCTGAACTCTTCAGAAGCCCAGCTAGGTGGTAGGTATAGACTCAACCTCGACTGTACGGACAACGGTGAGCGTCTGTTGCAACTGTACTTGGAGTACCTCCTATTTCTTAGTAACGCCGTTTTTAGCCACAGTGAGCGTCTAGGTGCCACTTGATGTCCACCTATAGCCGGCCAACGTTGAACCCAAATTGATCACGCTTTTACAGGTGGCGTGCTCCCTTCCTGCACTGTCGCTGATCCTGAATTATTTGCGTACCAAACACTTCTCCCGATTGGCAGCTGATAAGTATCCAGTCCCCAATCAAGCAAGCCTACCAGGATGCCCTGCACACCGAACTATCGTTCTCTGCCCTTAATGGCATTGAGCTTCAATGGAATAGTATCTCGGGCGCCATTCACGATGCGGTATAATCTCCTTGGAACACTATTAATCGTCACTGCTACAGTCACTGGATATTCGAGAGTTATGTGAACCGGTTGGAATCCAGATGGAAACTCCAAGCTAAGACTGAACGCAATGTCACTAGGCGGACTATTAGACGCGAACCAAAGCGGAGCCTGCGTGCTAACAAGGAATTCTGGTGGACTAATAGAACTAAGGAATGGAGGAAACAGGAGCAGTAGACAATTATCCCTAGCTCTTCCAGTTGATTCGCACCACTGCTCCAAGGAAACCAGGCACCAGCAAAACAGTCAGAGCGCGGATCCCATGATTCCAAATAAGGATCGCCGCATGGCTCGTTGAGTGGCACACTTTCGAGACCAGTTCAGTTGCTCCCATGAAACTGGATCTCTTACTTCTCGGGTGACGCTGGCTGAGCCATGGCCGGTTAGTTTAGAAACTCCGAAATGCAGTCGTAGCCCTTAATCTTTTTCGTACATCTGGCCCTGATTCCGTCGCACCCCATTTAATGGTGGTGGTGAGGTCCGCCGCGAAGCACTGACCCGCTTATTTGAATATGTATGGGTGGAAGAGACCATCTCAGCTAACTGGAAGAAATGGATTATGGTGGTAATATACGATAAGGGCAGTCACATACACCGTGCTAACCACTGCGTTAACACCGATGGTAACAAAATTATTGGCCTCAGTTCTGTTTTGTCTCCGTACTGCGGAACTGGAATCCCGGATTAGGGAAGAGTAGTCTGGCTCTGTTCAGGTCGTGTCAGCATACACCACATATTCACTCTGCTGCATTTGCTGGAGCAGCGCCACACGTGCAACAGGCCGACAATAGCTGGATTCCTCGACTACAAGACTGCGTTTGATTCAGTCGATTAATCCATTATGTTCGTGATACTTGTGCGGAAAGGTGTTCCTATTAAATACGTAAACATTTTACCCGCCCTGTACTCTACTGGCCTCGTCAGACTCTACGGTGGTTTGTCGGATGTCTTTCCGACAACAAGTGGAGTTTGTCAGGATTGTCCAATTTACCCATTTTTGTTCAGCTTTGTCGGGGCTCCATCAGGGAGTGTTCCTTTGCTGAAACTTGCGATGCAGATGTTGAGCTTACGCCTAGTGAAAAGTTATTTGATCTTGACTATGTGGAGATATTGTCTTGTTTTCAACGATGTTGGGGTGGCCCAGTCAACCCTGTTTTTGAATCCTTGCTTCATTACAACTCCTTTTAAACCCTTTGCACCAGTTCCTTCCCAATTCTGAGCCTATTTTCGCTGTATATGATTCATATCTTTTTGCATACTTTATGTCTCCTTATCCAGAACTACGCCCCCACTCATGCGGACAGTGTGGTAAGAAGTTTTCTCAGCATACCCAACTACAAAGACACCACCAAGCTGTTCACTTTGGTGAGTGTGTAACGGACAGTTTTGTTAAATTCTCTTATCATAACTTGTGGTTTACTGTCCTTCCGAATGCTATTTGCTTCCGTAGCCCGCTGTATTTATACATTTGCTCGATGTTTTTACTCGATGCAGTAACGTCTTGATTTGTGGAACATTGGATTTTCCGATTCGCATAATTTGGTGCAACGTCAATGAGTCTCTTGAATCATTTGACTCTGTGTATGTGCTAATTTGTTGCGAAACACTTGTTTATCTATGGTCTATAGCGTTTATCCTCTTTGATTGTAAATCGTCCTCCCGTTCTCCTATATGCTTCTCTGTTAACGTATCTTGGAACTACCTGCCGTATTCTTTTCTTTGTTGTTCTTCTGCACATTCAAATCTGCATTACAAATGTGCAACTCGTCACGGATTTGTTGCGAGGAACACTGTTCGTTGGTTTCAACAATTTGCAAAGTGTGGTGCGAAGGCGAAATCTGGCAGATGCATGTATTTCGTATTGTCTCCTCAGTACCATTAGCAATAACCGATATGCATAGGTATAGGTAACAGTGGGTGGGACCAGATAGGCTTGAAGTGACGAATAATTGTTTTTAAACTCGCACGGCTAGCTTCATCTGGCCTCTTGCGACAGCTTCAGCAACCGAAGGAAGTGGAGATTAGCGCGACGCAGCACAACGTTTGGCGCTGATCCCAGCTCTATCCTGTTACCGGAGAACAGGATTCTTTCACCTACCGAAGTAGCCGTCGGTCTACGAGAGCAGGAAAGTTGTACGAAGTAGGGGTTCAAGGCATTTTCACGCTGGACCCATCTGCGCACGTGCTCCTTTATTCTGGAAGTCAGTCCGATCGGTTACGCTGCACAGTCACACACGAATTGTTATATACTATGTGAGTTGGCCCCGATTGGTTGAATTTCCTTTGGGGAAAACACCGGTTAATGACCTCAGTTTGAGCAGCATTGTAGCCTCTCTGCGGAGCAGCGACTTTAATGGTCTTCAGTACAGTAAACTCGCCTTTGAAAGGCAATTTGATGCATATCTTTTTCTTGCCTGCCATATGCATCAAGTTCTTCAGGCCTCGCAGTTAGCTGTTCCTCTATAAAGTTGCGTGGGTAAATAATTGCCGTGAGTGTCATTGTAATTGATTCTAGCTCATTGGCCAGACAATCCGCCATCCAAATTCGTCTCGCGCGACAAACTAACTTTTTCACAACTATCCGCTTGTGTCTCACCGGTGCGAGGTTGGTGAAGTGCAGGTATTGGTCGGACCGGGGTACCTTTCTGCATACCAACCTTTTATTGAGTCCGTGATCCCTGTGACTGATAAGGAGGTCTAAAAATGGCAGGCTATTTTTCTGTTCCACTTCACATGTGACCCTCAGCTTGGCGTGTGCCTTGTTGATATGTTCTAAACTCATTTAGAGCACTTACATATAGTCGGTATCATCCGTTTCTAACTTTGTCTGTTAATGTTATTGTGAGCCGTCACATGAAAACCACATCTTCAGGGGGCAATGGGTGACTCGTGTTCTATCATCCATATGCCCAATCTCAGGACATACGTACAAAGGGGCATGGCTCAGAGGTATGCAGATGTGGACGCAGATTCATTTGATGTTACCGCACACCGCTTCACCATGCCTACCGCAAATGTACCAGTTCGGAAAACAAGAGTATCATCACCGATGTGACGCTAGTTATGAACAAGTAATCTTTACCCCAGTTCGCTCGGGGCACGCGTGAATAGGCTGTTACTTTTCGCTGACGATTTGAGGATTCGGCAATCTTTCCGTTTGAATACACGGATCAATTTGTGCTCTATTGCGACCTACATAAATGGCGATGGATTAATTTGAATACTGATCTGCATTTTCTCCAACGCGACCTAAATGTGGTGCATCTTTGTGCAGTCTGAAATTTACTGCATTTCGACGTCAGAGCAGGCCTGGCGCATTGGATCTTCGTGTCATGGCTTCGATTGACTTGCGATGTCTCAAGCGATTGGAGAAAGCATTGCTAGCTAGACAATCAACACGTTTGACTTTTGAAAATTGGGACCGGACGATTAGTCTACTCCGTTTTCTGTTAGTTGCTGATCGTTTATATTTTTGACTGTGTCGGACATGGCGTTGAAGCCTAGCGATGGAATGTGGTCCCATTGTTCTGATACTTTTCACCGGCGATGTACTAATTACATCACGTCTGTCTGATCCCCTTGCTAGGGCTAATCGTCGAGATCCTCTTAAGTATTAGGCCTCTTAGTTGATTTTATGCAATGCAAATCATGTGTGTCGTTTTTTTCTGGTGCTGAACTGTAACAGGGATCTGTGAAGCCACTCTCTGAGACGGACAGAGCGTTTCAGTCGCCCCGAATGCTGTGGGAATTCGCTTCCTTTTTGGTATTTTGTCGCTGGGGTCCACCCTCCGAATAAGCCATTTCCTCATAGACGCTGATTTTAATTAAAGAACGTCTGAAAGTTTTATGTGCTTTTTCAATCTCAACAATTGTTATTGATATAAAACAAGTTGGAAAACTGAACGATTACCTTACATGCGAAACGAATTACCTAGCTTCTATCTAGAAAACGTATTATCCGTTAATCTGTGGTTTTTATGTTGAGTCCCACTAATTTACCCAACGAGATGTGTAAAGTATTTACTCCCTCATCTCTTATAAACCATTGATCATTATTTGGTACAGCCTTCATTGATGTACTGGCTCTTGATGAATTCCAACCTGCTCGTCTAACACCAAACGGATGGTCTCGGAAGTCCAATTTTCTTGTCGGCTGTGCCCATTGTGAACCCAGAGCTTACGCTGTTTTTCCACATTGATGTTTTGCATTCTGTCATTTTTGTCTATTCACACTTCGGTCGCTCGGTTCACTGTTCCGGTTTTTAATCGACATTGCTTAGCGGTGTTAGTTTATGCTTCATAGCCTAAGTTCGAGTACGTTTGATCCATTAGTGCAATCGATCGCGCTATAGGCTTGATGAGTTTCGTTCACAATGCGCAGAGAGTTCGTTACCGAAGTGACGAAATTGGGACTGTGGGAATCTGTGGGCACGACAAAGTTACGGTCAATCAAACAATAAAATTGACATCCACGCGTCACTCTGTCGTGCGCAAGTGCATGCGAAGCTAAACCTGAACCACGCTTACCAACAGATTGAATTTGACGAAGAATCTCTGGTCTGCACTCATAGTGAGTTTCACCGCTACACCTGCATACCGTTCAGCATAGGCTCTGCCCCGGCCACATTCCAACGATTTATTGATTCACTTTTGTAGGATACCTAAAACTTGTGCCCATCTGGATGACATTCCTATTGCAGACGAACCAATGCTGAACACGTTCAAACTTTGGATATACCTCTTAAAAGTATTAGACACTTGGCTGATACTCAAGGAAGGAAAATGTGAACTTCATATCCCAAGTGCACCGGAGCTTTGATATGAACTGTCACATGGTGGGTTGTATTCGCTAAAAGAGCCAATAACTCTACTCCAAAGCCCCAGTCCCATAAAGTGTAGGCGAACAACGCTCTTTCCTGGGATCACTCACTCAATTCTTCACGTACATACAAACAGCGCTAACTCATTTGGGTCCACTTCGGAACGCGGTTCACGAAATTCTTTCGACTCAATCGGGGGACCGTTGGTTTCATCATCATCACATTAGCTGAAGGTGAGAAACACTCTTCACCTATTGTACCGCAAAACACAAAGATAACATATAAGAAAAAGCAACATAGTAAACATTATGGAATACAAAGACAGCAACACGCAATTTAGCAACCTATTATGCTTCAAGAGGGAGATCGGGATTGAAGAGGGAACATAAGCTGCACGCGGATGGACTAAGAAGCTCACAGCACAAACGCCATTGAGGTCTGCATTTTGTCGTGTCAACTAGTGTATCCAACCAGACGTGTTTATCCTCCTTCGGACCCCAGCCAAGCAGTCAGGACACACCAACCGACGCCAACTTCGAAGTGAGGGCCTTCATTACTCTTGACCAAGTCATCGCTGGTACTCCACTCCTTCCATCCACACCCCCGACGCGCAAACAACGCACGACGCGGGAGTCGCTGGGCTGGCGTGCGGAACACGTGGTCCAGCCATCGGAGCCTGGTGCGTGAAATAGCGGTGTTGAGCGGTTCACTCGCTCTTCCTGCACGATGCCGAACACGCTCATTGCTCACGTGGTGCTCCCACCAGACATAAGCTAAGCTGCGGAGGCAGCGATGATCGAACGTGGCTAGCCTATTTATGTCTTTCGACCTGGTGGGCCAGGTTTCACAACCGTGTAAGCGGGTTCAACGGACGGCTGCATTATAAACTCTGCCCTTCAGGGCGAGAGTGATGTTGCATCTGCGCCACAGGTGGCGGAGACTAGCAAAAGCACCTCGAGCTTTTGCCATACGGTTCGTGACCTCGTCTTCGATCCTACGGGGGCTAACACAGCTGCCAAGGTACTTGAATTCCTGAACGACTTCTAGCTGATTATTATCAAGGGTCAGCGCAGGGGGAGGGACTTTGCATTTTGATGGAGCAAAGCATAACCCAAAGCGATTGACAGCCTGTGCTAATCGGTCCAGTGCTGCTTGGCAAGTTTGGGAGCTGTCACGTATGGGGGTAATGTCGTCCGCACACTCCAAGTCAAGAAGTCGATCACCTGCAAGCAGCTCCACGCCTTGCAGTGAACTCAATCTCCATGACTTCGTCAATAGCGAAGTTGAAGAGGTAATGTGACAGCGGGCATCCTTGTCTCTCACCACTGGAGATATTGTATGGCGGTGACAGTTTGCCATAATCCCTCGCTCTACCCGAACTACTCGAATAAAACGCTTTGATAATGGTTTCGGGCATCCTTCTTCGAGCACATCTTTCTTAAGAAGACAGTCCCAAAGAGCATATCGATCAGCCGAATCAAAGCTACCTTTGATCTCGGGGGAATCGACTACGGTGGGTCGCCAATAAACATGGCAGGGCTCCAACAATTGACGTAATTGTAGATGTGGTCGATGCAGCCTCGATTTCGACGCAACCCGGCTTTCTCTTCTCGAATCTGGCTTTCACGGATGCCAGGAAGTCGATGTAGAACAGTAGAGGCTAGTATCTTAGAGGCAACTGAGATCAGACTAGTCCCTCTATGATTGCCGCAATCGGAACGTGAGCCCCCCTTTGCAGTTTGGGACTATTACGTAGCGGCTCCATTTCCCTTAGGACAGTCACCTGCTCCCACAGCTTCACAAGCAAATTGTGTAACTTATTGACAATACCTAGTCCACCGAATTTGAATAGAGCTGGAGGAATTCTATCCGCTCCTGCAGCATTATTCACTTTCAAAAGTCAGATCTGTGACTCCTGCGCGCGAAGCTGGGTCCAATTGGATGGCTCAGTGAGAGGGGCGACTAATGGCGGATAGTGAGGCTGGTACCTGCGGTTGATTAAGCAGTTTTTCTAATTGTTCAGCCCAACCCTCCAGGCGTTCTGACAAACTGTGCATTGGCGGTCCACTGTCATCACGGTCTCGCCAACACCAAGTCTCCTTCTGCCCGTTTCGCGTATCAGACGGGATAACACGATGGTTACCAAGGTCAGTGGCCATATCCATCTCCGATGTACAATGAGACCACTAGGATTCGCGGTCTCTCTTCAGGCTAGCACGCAATTTCACCCTGCGATCTTTGTGAATCTCGTTGTGTTCGCTCCCAGCCTGAATGTGTCACTAGCATCCAAAAGTTCCAGAGACTGCACCGACCCAATGTCTAGGTTGGCAATTTGATTTGCTACATGAAGACATGCCTGCTGCTAATAACGTCTGGTAAATATGCGGCCAGTGGTCCTCTAATGGGATCAGAGAGCCCTTACTCAACCCGGATGCCAGCGTACTCTGAGTCCCTTTCTGAACCTCTGACTTCGCCAGCTGGCATGTATCTATGCGCTCACAACGTCGTCGTATGCGCCCACCGAAGCGAGCTGTAAGATCGGTACAAACTGCGTGATCAGAGTCCGCGCTCATGCTCCAACTCGATCGACATTTTTGGACACAGCTTCTCCAGCGGTAACTGATCGCGATCTGGTCGATTTGCGTCCATGCCTGGTTTGAGGTGGCTGGACGCCACGTCACCCTTTTGCGAGTGCTGTGTTAGAAGTTAGTGCACGCGAGAAATAGAGGCGCATCTTCACACAGGTGTAGCAACCTCTCCTCGTTATCAGATGCAGTTCATCAGCGTACAGTTCTCTAACTTGAGCGCTCAGATCGCCAGTCAGGACAACGGTGTCCGTATTTTTCTGTAACGAAGGTGGTCGTTAAGTTACTGATAGAATTCATCTTCCACCGAATCGGCGCTACAGTTTGTAGGGGGCGTAGGCTGCATTGACAGTCGGACCCCGTTCATTTAGGCGCGACGTCGAAGCTTTGAACAATTCAGCCAGTGTGACGGCGCACATCCAGCTATTTATTAGGATCCACTCAACCTGGGCAGCTTCAACCCGGGGACTCAGAGCAATACCCACACCGGCTTGACCAGTATTTGGAGCTGCGTTATCTCAAGTGAAACGCAATAAGAACATGCTGTCAGTGTCGCAGGTGGGGATCGCAAGTCAATCACGGAACTCGCATCTTGCAGGCGGGTTTCCGATGCTCAGCACATGTCAATCAATAGGGTCTCAAGTGTTTGCGCAAGTATTGCCTGTTGGCATTGCAGTCTTATCAGGGATCTTGGGTTCCAAAGAGAAACGGATGATTTGACGTCTGTTTGGCTGGACATGGACTTGTCGACTGGACTGGGAAGCCGCCCTGCGATTGCATGTGAGTCTAAACTAAGAAGACAGACGACCATTGAAGCAAGATGGGGGTTGACCAGGAATTAGTGGGTTGAAAACAGGGGAGAAAAGTGAAGTTGGAGCTGGACGATAAGGATGAAAAGGCGAAAGAACTGGAATAAGATGACGGGAAAGCTTGAAAAGTTGCATCCAAACCCCTATCCACCCCTCTCGATGCAAGACATAGGGCGCCGTTTATTATCCTCTGCGATGGCCAGCGCATCAAGAGATTATTTGAAGGAGAAGTCATAATGTTGTATTGCGGGGCAGGATACTGTCAGGTTGCCCAAGCATAGACAGAACGATTATAGTTCCCAACCAAAACCTTTGTTACATATGTCTGACCACAAGGCAGCGAGGTTTCGGCGCTATGCTACAGAGTGCGTTTTATTGAATAAGGCGCCCCCATCACTCCAGCGCCTAACTGGAGTACCAGAAGACTGACTTTGTTTAGCCTCTAGCCAATGACCAATCTGTACAGATATGCCGAGTGATGATATCCTTAAGCTGAATAACACACAGGCTTTCTACTGTGGGATGAATGTGATTTAGGTTCCAAGGTAGATTGGTCTGATAGGCGCACATTCAGTCGATCAAACGCAGACCGAACGGGCACTTCTGTTTGGTTCAACAGCAGTCGTCATTTCTCTAAGTTGTTGCACTGATTGCATATAATTATGAACGCCGTTATCGTTCTGGGGAGATTTTTTCACTCGGATTGTTCAGAATCGACAAAACATAGCGTAATGTTGGACAGTGCATCACACACCGTTGGCATCTGGAATTTGTTGCCTACATATATCAACTACACTATTTTTCACACTAGTCCTGGTAATTTCCGCGTTAAGAGCCTATATTCTCCACAATGAATTCCCAGTTTTATTGTCCATTAGGAACGACTTCATATTCCGGAGTCCTTTCACACTATTCTAACAGGCCATGCAACATTCTACGGCTATTTTCTATCTATGTGCTTCATCTTCTATTACTCATTTTCTATTTCCTGTTCCAGATCACCGCCCCTATGTATGCGAATATTGTGAGGAAGCGTTTGCTCGGAAGCCGCATTTAAATGCGCACTTCCGATCTGTTCATTCGGGTGAGTGTGGAACTGCAAGCCGGAGTTTCGGTTGATCACATGCCTTGTAGCATCTCTGATCCGAAACTACTATCATTCTAAACATTATGATAACGATGCTGCTGCTGCTGCTCATGATAATAATAATAATAATAACAATAATAATAATAATAATATAGGAGTATTAGGGGGAGTTGAATGGTATACGTAGAAATTCATCACATCTAGACTCATTCAGACAGCCGCCACACACCCGGAAAAGCACTGTACGCGCGTTTCATCCTTTCGGGAATCATCAGCAGTGCGCATTCCATCGGACCCTGGTAGGGCTCAAACCCGCAACTCGACTGTTGCCAGTCCGTGGTTGAGACCACTGAGCTACGGAGGATGGCAACGACCATCGTGAATAAGTTACTAGATGTGATATAGCGCCGCTCACTATCCACTGACTTACACGTTACTGTCGTGCAGAGGACAGGGTAGCCCCCCTCACCAAGCGACGAGCTTACCAAACTTAAGGCGCTAATTAACTTATGGGTCCGATAGAATGCGCACTGCTGACGATTCCCGAAAGGATGAAACGCGCGTACAATGCCTTTTCGGGCGTGTGGCGGCTGTCTGAGTGGGTCTAGATGTGATGCATTTCTACCAATAATAATAATAATAATAATAATAATAATAATAATAATAATTCGCCACATATTTCCACCACCTCGTTTTGTAGTGGCACAATCAAAGAATTGTATACCCTTGCAACAGTCTCATGACGATTCGTTTAAAAGTTCTTTGCTAATACATCAATTTTGATAATCCTTTGATATCCGACGGAAGTTGCCCAGCGGAATGACGCGCATAGAAATCATCCTTTGGATGTAGTTACCACACTTCGCTGCATCCCTAGCAGCCGGGGTGTTCATAGTGAGAATTGATTGCCCATCCTTTGTTCAGATCAAAAAAGAACTTATGTATGCTGCCGTCCTCCGTGAGGACAAGGGGACAATGACTTATCGGCTCAGTGTTCTGAGTTAATAGAAGGAATGTTGTTGGATTCCTATGAAAATAGAACACCTCAGACAACTATCCATTCGTGTGTCGCATACCTTTCCCGATGTCAGACGTTATTCAGTCGCTCAGAGAACATGGAATGCTTGTGGATGTGTTGCTCCACTACCGCGTATTTCCGCCTAGTTTGCAGTTTATTATCGAGCACTTCTCCTCACGGATCAGCGGGTACATACATGCGACCACTGTGATGCCTTATTTCCGTGGGCATTTTCTCAGCGAAAACCTTTGCAATCAGTTTGTTAGCATGTGCTCATGGTTTCATCATATTCCTTTCGTTCCATTGTCATAGTCAAGTCTTCAGTACAGTTCAGTTCAGTTGATCAACGATGATCCGAGCATCGAAGTGCGGTAGATCCAGTTGCCATGACTCACACTGTAAGAAGAGCTATAAACAACAACTGCAATATAGTGCGTTGGGTGCAAATAGAATGTAGAGAAAATGATAGCAAGCAGGAAATGTGTTAGACTCATCAGAATAGAACGCAAATTAACAAATAGTTGCAAGGAACCGAGTGCAGGAACGTCACAGATTGCGTGACTGTGCCCTATGTGACAGGGTTTCCAACCACTGATGTGGGCCATCCAGAGGCAACCATCCAGTAAGGCTACACGCATCAGCAAGTCTCTCAGTCAATTTCTCCACATTATAGACTGGTCATCTCGCGGTTTCATCCAACTTGATGTAGTCACAGCGTGTAATGCACGCTGAGAGAGCCGATAAGCGGGCATACGGAAGACTTGGCCTAGTTAACGCGAACACTAGAGAGAGGCAGCAGAAGGCTTCTTGCCTAAAACCAACAGGCGGACCTCAGCGTTGCTCACCCGGTGTTCCAACCAAACGTGAGCAATACTTTGCAAGCACCGGTGATCAAACACGTCCAAGGGTTTAATGTCTTCATTGCTAACCGGCAATGTCTCTGATCCATGCAGTAACACTGGCCTTGTCGCAGCTTCATACGCCCTACCTTTCACTGACAAGCTGATATCCCGCCGTCTCCGCAGATGGAAAGCCACTTGGGCCTTGCTAATACGCGATTTAACTTCCTCAGTGATGTGACCACCAGAGGTGACACAACTGCCAAGATAAGTGAACCGATCCACCACTTCCAGTAGCTGTTTGGAAATAGCTAAAACCGGAGCTGTGTCTACTCAGTCCTGTATCAGCACACTGCACTTTCATGATGCAAACTACATACCGAACCGTGCAGCGCTACGCCCAGATCTGTGCGATAATTTTGGCATAGCCAAGCCAATCAGATCCAAGACGAACTATGTCGTTCTCATACTCCAGGTTTGTCAGTCGGTCATCTGGCAGAACTTCCACTCCAGAATAATCTGAAAGAACCGAGTCATTCATGATCTTTTCGATCAAAGTTGAAGAGGAAAGAAGATATAGGACAATCCTGGCGAACCCGACTAGGCGTAGGAAACTCGGGAAAGAGTTTCCCGTAGACCCTTGCACGGCCTCGGGAATTCCGGTACGGGGACTTCGGAATAGTAAGGAGTTTAGTTGTCACGCCCTTCATGGATACGTAGTGCCACAAGCTGGCGCGGTCACCGGAGACTAAAGCGGCTCTCAAGTCAAGGAAAACTACCATAGGCGGTCCTTTGCTCCAAAACTTGGCGATTAGTAACTTTGTGGTCGATGCAACCACGGCTAGAGCGGAAGCCAGTGTGGCTTTCCTTGAATCGGTTCTCACGGGGACCAGTAAGTCGTCAAAGAATGATACCCGTGAGAAGTTTTAAGGCAATGGAAATAAGTCTAATTCCTCGAAGATTTTCGCACAAAGTACGCTGCCCCTTCTTGAAGATGGGCACAACGGTTGATAGTCGCCAGTCTGAATGCACTTTTTCAGTGTCCCAAACGGTGTAAAGCCTTCACTAGCTTATCGGACTGGATGACGATTCGCATTCACACCCAGCTGAACATGGCACATCGTGTGCAACTGTATGTTTGCGCGCTGATTTCCCCCTATCTCGCCTCAGAAATACGGTTGCTGCGCACGGCGTCTTAAACTGCGCCAGCAACAGCTTAGCTCTCCTCATTGAAACCGCTGTTATGTGTCAACACAAACTGCACAGATTCCATCTAAGTTTTTCCCAGTGGCGCTGCTGTATTTGCCGTCTCAAGCCACAGCGAATCAACTGAGCTTTCTTCAGGAAACTACTGCTACTTGACAGTTCATGCGCGCGTTGTCAACGAGCTCTTGCTATCAGTCAGTCTTTATTTGTTTGGTCTTGGTGAACCGGGCCGTAGCCTTAAGAATCACAGTTCCGCCTTGCAATTCATTTGGCGCGGGTTCGAGCCTGCTTAAGGACCAGGCGACTCTCGCAGTATTCTTAGCCCATGTTTGACTGCTGGTGATTACGCTGTAGGGAAGCGTTGGTATTGCATACCGGCCTACTGCTGATGCCTTTGCAGTCATGCAATCATGCGAAGTGTCGCGTTTAATGTCCACTCTCAGCTCCCGTTTATGTGCGTCCGGAACCTATGTCACTTAGACCGTAGTAATCCGAATTCACTTGGCTGCTCTGCATTCGGAGTACTGGCAAGGAAAGCGTTTCATCTATTCCGATTAGAAGTCGAAACAACTGGGCTGTATTGTAGCAAAAACATATTACCAGCACTGTTCATCAACAGGAGCGTTCACATTGCATCAATCGGGCGATCACCGGAATCCATGATAATCTGGACTCAACTTGATCATATTTCTGTCGGCTATTGATGCACATTATTTAGTCTGTTGGTCGTTTTTGGAATTCAAACCTAGATCCCAATCATGCACTAACGCGCACACGCATGGTTCTCACTCTTCCGGTTTCCTTGGGGCTCCGAAGTTCGTCCCATGGGCTAATGGTCTACCATTGGTAGATAAACGAAACTGGGTACACTTCGAGATAGACTAACAAAGTGGGGTGGGAGTAGAAAGTATCGATAGCCGGACAACATAAAATATTTCTACGATTGTTAAGTGAAATATGTTTTACGTCGTCACCATGTAGGTTTCTAGCTTTCTCAACGACGTTCCTGATATTTGTTAACGGAGTATCGCTGATGTTTTGCGGGTAACGACCTTTTTTTCACCTTTACCTCTTTCGGGTACCGCAGGGGAAAATTGCTTTTCACTTCCGGTACCTACGCAGTTTCGTTCACATCTAATGGGACCAACATTTGAGCTGTGAGTGTGTTCACTGTCATGTCTACGGCGCCAATAGAACACGTGATTCCCTTAGCAGTGTTATTTCACGCACCAGGCGGCGATGACTGAGCCATCCCAACACATCGACTTCCGCTTCGTGCGCTGTTTGCACGCCTAAAATCTGGGTGGGAGAAGTCATAGGTGACCATCCGAAAGGTGGAAGTTCGCACTTCCTAGCTGTCCTCGGTCGGTCACCCTACCGCAGATTTGGAATTCGAAAAGTTGTGAACACGTTCGGTTGGTGACACTTGTTGCGTTGTTTAATACTCGGCCTCAATGACGTCTGTATTGTTTCTCTTCAACTCTGCAACCACCAACACTTTATGATGCATAGTAAAATCAAGGGTTGTCTTTTCATGGTCATATAATCGAGCTGTAGTATGTCGACACCATTATTACGCTTTTTCCTCATATCTGTCATCTTACCACTGGTTTTATCCTTCATGTTTTCCTACGTCTGGCCTCTACGCGGTGATCGCGTCGTTTCGCTAACCTAGTGGATGTGTTGTGACACCAGTTTCTGGGGTACATTGGAAAGTATGGGCATGTAATGGTCTAACTCCTTTCAAGCTTGATTTCTTAAGCATTGACTTGATACACTGCATTGTGTCACGGCGTTTCAAGCACCGTCCGAACTGTTGGTCCAGCGCATTCGCATTTGTTCAAACTCGACATTGAAGTGACTATGCGATGCGAATTCGGTTTGTATCATACATGAAATGACGCGCTGAGGAAATGATAAAATCAGAGTTTGCCGCTTGATCTCAGAAACGAAGTATGCTGCTAGCCAAAGGTTGCCTAAATGAACTGCTGGGCGCAGCTACGATTGCTTACCGCCTGCACAGTTGCATCGCCTGCACCCAATACTGTATGCTAGTGCCGTTATTGTGCGATTTCTTTCTTCGTAATATACTTTGAAACACCTGGATGCCGCAGAATGTGAGCACTTTAGCTTGCACTTTATGTCGGTTGTTTTCGGCATACGATTCGCACACTTTTTCTCATCTTCTCTTGTGTTACGAAACAGTTAGCCTATGTTGTCCAACTTTTGCACGACTTATGCTCAGCTTTATTGGTCGCCATTAAGTATTTACTTAATTGCAACGCATATGGTTGGCGGCCACCGGAGTCGGATCTGGCTGTCACTGCGGCCTCCACAGGACAGACGCAGGACACGTGTGCCTACAGAGGGACCATGGGTGGCTTGCACTGCACCACCCCCATCTCCATTCGCACATCCCATATCCGGTGTAGACCCGAAGGTATAAGACCGGGAGACGTGGATGGTGGCCACGTTTCATCAACGAAGCCGGCCCACACTTTTTCAGCATACACAGCGCAACATTCCTGTCAGTCTAATTGGAAAATCATGCGTACCATACGTACATAACTCGGTGGCTGGGCCGTAGTCCGCTCCACACTGCATGGAACCGCTTATTGAGCCTAGCACGGTCACGAAGACGGTGCACCCCGTCCCCTTCATCAATGACCAACTGACCCATGGGGCCAGTATGAACGAGGTAGCGGGTACTAGACAGGTGGGCACCTTGTCAACATGCACATCAAGCGCAGCCACACCGGGGATATCAAGCAACAGTCAAGCACTTGAAACGACAAGATGAAATAAAATAAATCCAATAATGCATACAGATACGGTGGCATAACTCTTCGCTAAATTACCATATGAAGTATGTTGGTTAGCAACGAATCCGCGAAAGGGAAGAAATTCCACAAGTTACTTAAAAATGCTACGAACGCAACAGTTACCGAAGGTAAGAGCAATTTGCGTAAACAAGGTGGCCAGTTAATAGAAGATTATTCAGGTAGGCAGAACAAGCCAAATAAAGTGGAATGAAATTTAGCCAGCTTAAAAAGACCTAGTTTAAGTGTAAGTTGGTTTAGCCCAACTGCGGTGAAGAAGCATCAAGAATGCAACATCAGCCTCAGCATGGGGCATATATATATATATATATATATATATATATATATATATGGTTGGCGGCATCCGGTTCCGGATTTGCCTGTCACTGTGGCAAGCCACAGGACGCCTGCGCCTACAGAGGGACCATTGATAGCTTGCGCTGCACCACCCACATCTCCAACCACACACTCCATATCCAGTGTAGATCCGAAGGTATAAGACCGGGAGACGTGGATGGTGGCCGTTTCATCAACGAAGCCGGCCCACACTTTTTCAGCACACACAGCGCAACATTCCAGTCAGTCTAATTGGAAAATCATGCGTACCAGACGTACATAACTCGGTAGTTGGGCCGTAATCCGTTCCACACTGTATGGAACCGCTCATTGAGCCTAGCACGGTCACGAAGACGGTGCACCCCACCCCCCAGCAACTATTCACAGTCTCCTGGAGCCAGAAATCGACGTGGAGGGTGTTAGACAGGTAGGTACCTTGTCAGCATTCACATCAAGGCGCAGCCAGAAGGGGAATATCGGACAACCAACACAAAATGTGATGGAAAGTAAACGTGAGAAATTGACACGGAATATGCAGCAGTGTAACAAAACTGAGCAACTCAAACAAGGAGGAATACTTTTATCCGGGTTAAGAAGCTTCAGTCTACGTGTAAGTCTGTTTAGTCCAACTGTGCTGAAGAAGCATGATGTATATGGCAACATCAGTCCCAGCATGGGGCATTGGATCAATCCCTATTCTGCGTCTATTTTCGCCATCTATCTCGTCCGTACTCGCGACTTTCTGTTTTTTTCTGTTCCAGAACAACGCCCCCACACATGTGATCGATGTGACAAGTCGTTCGCTAAACTCAACCATCTGCAAAGTCACCACAGATTTGTTCATTTGGGTAAGTTTGTAACTGGTGACATCCATAACTTCCGCTTCTGTTAGTTGCTGTTTACCGTAGGTGATGATGTAGAAATTTCTCGAATGCCCTATGCTTTTGTAGCTTCGTCCCACTCAATGATCCCCTCACACTGTGATTCCCTTTACCCAACCTTTCTCCTGTCCCATTCCAAATTTGTATGTTCTAGCTCTCAATCCAGATTATGTGATCACTCATCTCGGTGCTCGTCGACAAACGTAGCAGTTTGCTGACTCCGTCCTCTCGAACTATACGCAGACGCTAGCGTAATATCATAGTTGATCATACATTCTTCTAAGCCTACTCGATGCTTGGTTATCTCTACTTCGACTTCTAGCAGGCGCCTCTGCCTTTCCACTTCCCACTCCAATTGTAGCTGCCTTTTTCTTAACTCAGCTACATTCGAAACAGTAGATGGACAATGGGGGGGGGGACATTGCTTTCCTTATTCTTATGACTAACGTGTGAACCAAAGCATTTAGCATTGTCATCATGTTAACCGCCAGGGTTCTTCAATTTCAACGAGATTCCCAGGTCGATTATTCTTGAAAGACATGGTCCAGCATGATCACTCAAGATCGTTGAGCCAAATTTCAAACTTCGCTCCAAAACGAAGAAGTAATTTTGAGTACTTAGATTTCAAAGGTAGTTGTTGACCACTGCACGCTAACCTTCACTCCAAAGCGAGGAGAGGCTATCTTTGAGTACTTGGACTTTAATGACACTTGTTGAACCCAGCAGAAGATGCGGGCTTATCGCTGGAACGGCGCTTATTCATGACTTGCTCTTCGCGGATAATGTCAGGATATGGCGATCAACTAAAGATAAAAAGAATCGCGGATTCCTGGATTGCTTTCATAAATGCTCAACGAGGAGCCTACTCTAATTCAACCCAGCTAGGTGCAAGGTGATGCGCCTGCGCCATCAGCCGATGATCGTTTACAAGCTTGGAGACTGCACCTTGAAGAAGGCCTCTCAGGAGCGTTACCTGAGTGTACTGGTACAGGACGATCTCGGCTGCTCAAAGCAAGCACAGGTATCGATAAACGACACACCCCTTGAGCTAATACGTTTCCACCGGAATCAACTAAACCACAAAGCCGACACGGGATAGGGGTGCCATTTGCAAACAATTGGAAACACAAATGTATTGCGTCTCAACACTGTTAGGACGTTTCATCCTTTCGGGAGTTGTCAGTAGTGCGCGTTCCCTCTGACCATTGTAGGGCCCAAACTCAAATTTCGACACTTGCCAGTCTGTGATTGAGACCACTAAGCCACTAGGGATAATAACGACCACCGTGCCTAAGTTAACAGATGTGATATGACGCCGCTCACTATCCACTGACTTTCACTTTAATGTTATGCAGAGGACAGGGAAGCCTCCACATCAAACGACTAACTTGCCAATCTTAGAACGCCTATTAACTTTTAGTATTATAAGCGGTTTGCTCTGCATACTGACTACAGGTGAGTAGTACGGAGTTTGGATGTTGTAGGTATAAATTCATCACATCTACAGCGCGTCCGAGAAACGTCTGCCGATTTTCATTGACGCACCGTAAATTACCACACATTTTACGCCTTGAGAAAACCCCGAGGAATTCTAACGGCAGTCCGGATATCCAATCGGATCTCACACGATGCACCGACGCACTCAATTCCGGCGTCTGTCTACCACAAATTCCACGGCGCTACATGTTTCTCCGCGACGAGTCGCAGACTACCCACCTATGAACAATCGATAAATCCTGGTCTGTGTTTGAGGTTAAATGTCTCGTGGAAAACTGGACGCCTGTGGGTTCTGTACTGTAGCACTGAACTAACCGTTACGTACAGGCTTTACTGTGGTAAAAATTGAACGAACGTACAGGTGATACACAACTGTCGCGCACCTGAGCAATAAGTTTTCGATGTGTCCGTTTTTGTATCAAAGGTAATGTTGAATCACAGTTATGGTGGGTACGCCGGTGGACTGAAAACAAGCTTCCAAAAAACACTGTAGGAAAAAAGCACCACTTTCAACTAGGCCTTTCAAATTGGGAATAATAACAACTTGGTAGAGGAGTATTTTCTCGCTTTTAGTATTTTGCTTTCCTCTTAATTGAGCCAAGTTCTATCTGGAATTTCTCTTTCCTACATAACCCACGGTACTTAAAGCTTACCCAGTTGTTTCAGTTCAGTTCAGTGCAGTTGATAAACCATGATCTGGACACCAAAGTGCCTTGGATGCAGTTGCCACGACTCGCCTCGCCAGATTGGCAATAAAGAACAATCATAAGTAAATGCGGTTAGGCTTAAATATGGTATTAGCAGAATGGAAGCAAGAACGAGGTGCATGAAGCTAATCGCATTGAAGTATGAACAGTTAAACGCACGAGAACGAATGCAGGGGCAGCACGGACTCCAACAATACGCCACGTCCGATGGAGTCTCTAACCACTGATTTGGACTAGCACGAGGCCCCCATCCACGAAGACGGCACATACTTGCCTGACCAAGTCTCTCGGTCAATTTCTTCATACCCCTATGCCACATCATCGATTAAACACCTCGTGGTTTCGCCCAACTTGGTGCAGTGACGGCGTATACTGCTCACCGAGGAAGGCGGTTAACTGGTGTACAGGGTACATGACCTAACCAACTTTAGCGATTCAACTTCAACAGACACTGAAGTGAGGCACCAGAGGGTTTCTTGCCAAAAACCAACTGGCAAACCTCAGCATTGCTTACCCTGTGTTTCAACCAGATCGAATCACGGAAATGGTGAGCTGACAAAAACTGCCTCCACCTTGTCTGCCGACTGAAGTGCCACTTGGTTCCCCATAGAGAGAGCGGACCATGCGAACCAGTGAATCATGACAGGCTGACGATTTCCGAGAGAATAAAACGGCTGTGCAGCGCTTTTCCGTACATGTGCTGGCTGTCTGACCGAGTCCAGATATGATAAATTTTTCTTTATAACGTTCAATGTCCCTGCTAATTCTTTGTGATTATTACGCAGACCAAACTGATTTTAATGCCATAATTTAATTGTCGTCTAAATATTGGTAACTCCATTGCGTGGCGATGAGACTACCCTATCCACTGCACGGTTGTAAGGTATAAATCAGTGGATAGTAAGTGTTAATTTATTTACTGTTAAACTGTATGATAACACGCGATCAAATTCGAATAACAGTGCAGTCCGAGGCTGATGTCTGAGGTCATACCCATTCGAAATCTGTGCCCCATAGTTTAGGTGGAACGCAACTTCTTTTGTCGTGCATCGCATACCCCAAGTGCATCAACCCTTTGACTGAAGTACAAGAACAACCAACCACACGACAAGTACCCCAAATCTAACTGAACGACTAAATGTGTATCCCCTTTTCCTCATCATATGAAGGCCGGCAAAGGATTTTAATTTAAGGCATATCCGAATGAAAGTAGGCCATGACGTCAGCACGCAAGCATTACTTGAACTGACAATTGAAAGCAGTGTGTCCAGCGGTGACACACTCAAGCGGCATAACCTGCAGTGCTTAACAATTCGGAGGAAAAGCGAAACAAGGAAGGGAGGGGTTTGTGGACCTACTGAACCTCTGACTGGTGAATAGAGCAACTGCTTGGACACAAGCCGAACTGTTGTTGCTCTCAGGCTCATCAACATCTTTCTGCGTGCCTACGCCGATTTCCTTTGTCTCGGAATGCTTTCATTGTTCTGTTGAGTTTTACTTTCTCAATCTGAATCACGGTGCCAAAGCGTGGTGTTCATCATTTGCCTCACGCCTATAATTGTGATCTAGCCGTTACTAGCAGATACCACGCACTCATGCACTGTCAATGGTTTCTGCACTTTACTACTTAACCTTAAAATCTTCGCGTTCCACAGACTATTCACTATTCTGCGCCTTTATTTACGCAGTTTGACTTATCGAGAACTTTTTCTTTGTTATTTCTTCTGATCCAGGTGAACGCCCTCAACGTAGATCATCTATTCAAAAGAACGCATTGAAAGCTGACATCAGTGCTACTCATTCGGTTGAGAACGAGACCGGTGACTGTTTAATTTTCGTCTCATCATGTGTTTCATCATCTTATAATGATAGTATTCATGAAAATTCCTTACCCTTAGTTTTCCACCAGACATGCCTTTAGTGATATGGTCAGGAAATTACATGAGCTTGTAATAGATCGATCGCAGTTTCATCTTATATTCTTTTAAGTTACTGATTTTGCGTCTTAGTTTAAAAGTAATACGATGTGAGTTGCATCGCATATTAAGGTGTTTCAAAATCATATTCTATCCACATTTAAGGGCATTGCTGAGGTACGGTCAAACAGGAGAATCTCGTTGCCGATTCTTGTTTCGCCGGCGCTTGAAATGCCAGTTTACGTCCTCAAAGCCGTGTTTCCGCACGAGCGGTCATTCATTGTTCACCATCGTCACATCACTCATGTTCATTTCAAAGGTCACCAGTGTTAGGGTTTTACACATCTGCAAACAAAATTGTGTCTGTTAAGTGGTTTTTTGTGGTATGGGTCTCAGTGACTCATTGGTGCCACAGAAGCGCGGCTAAGAGTATCCGCAGTTCTATCGCGGAGCATTTACTTCTAAGTGGACAAGAAATTCGGATGGTGTGTGTATTTATTGTCTTCTGCTCCTTTGCCGCTACGTTTTCCCAAAGCAATCTCCTAGAGACTGCTAAAAGCGATCGCCACCAGACTAACCCAAACTGAATTGTAAGCACGGTGGACTATCTTACAAGCCCGTGGTCCCACAGCAACTCCCCGGTGTCTGTCACAAGCAGCGGATCGTCGTTTGTGGGACCTGCCGTAAGTTAATCGGCCTGAGTATTGTTACAGTTTGTTAAACTTAATCGTTTGTGGTTTAGTTCTCTTCATTCGAGCCTTCAATAGCTTAATATGTTGCAGGATTCTTCTCTTTGCTTGTAAGGGCCTGATGAGCGTCATTTAAAGATCTCTTCGCCAATCAACAATTAGATCCGTTATGATAAAATTGCTACGCGAGTCCACCCTTGTGCAACAGTACTGGAAACCGGTATTGTTCTAAAACTGTTTGTTCCGCCCAGTGCCGAGGCTATTACGCAAGCTTTCTCTTATTCTGCAATGGTTCTTGTACTGAATCAAATAATTCCTTTTGTAGTCCGAAATAAGGACATCAGCAGATGCAGGGTGTGAGGTAACCTCATCATGTGGTACATTCGCATCGGTCGCCTACGTGCAACCCGCGGTGGGCACGAACTAAATGGTGTCACTTGGTACACATTGGCGGACAAACGGTAGTGGATTAGTGCGCTGTGTCTTACATCTGTAGATGCAATATCACTGTCAACCATTTTTGTACACAGGATAGCTGGACCAAACGTTGCTCGCGGATCTCAGTGGCATAGTGCTTATGGCGTCAACCATGAGCCACTAGGCTCTGAGTTCCAGCCCAACTCAGGCTATCTCCAACTGATGAGTCCCAACCAGGACGAAACCACGGTCTTGGGGTGCCAGTGTTGGGATGAACAACACTCTAAGGATAGCATATGCTTGCAATCTGTAACATTAGCCTCAAAGAGCATGGGAATGTGAAACTTTTGCTTGCGCAGATGTTTGTGAATGATGCATCGTGCTTAATTTGGTAATCGGTATCAACTAGAGGCACCATAAATGCTGTAGCAGCTCAGCTACTCGACTCACTTGACCCAACCGCCAATTACTCAATTAGCTCGCGTATCCATTTGTAATGTGTTAAGTTTTGTCTCCATAGTTGCAGGCTATTCTGTATGAACAACAAGACGTACACTGCTTTTTCGTCGGCGTGTTCGCTGAACATGTAAATGGTGACCTCGATAACACAAGCGGCCATAGCTCATCACCCCATCTATCTTTTTTCATTGGCGCGCTTTTCCGCTCTCCCTGGCTTTTATGATGTGGTCATCTTTGAACGACACCTCAATGAACATCAGTTTTTGGGACCTCGTTTCATCGTATCACCATTACGCGTAGTGAACTGCATTGCATAACCATTAGGTTGTGGTGCTTCGAACAGGAATTCTCTGGTTCTAGTGTGCGTAGACTGCTAATCCCGTGAATCTAGTGGAACTACTTCCGGAAGCAAAGAACGCATTTGTGCTGCATCAGTGGAAAATTCTTAAAATGCAAGTACTCACCCGCCCAGGTTACCTTTCAGGTCGATGCAGCTGGTCATTTTTTATAAGCACGATATCGTGTCCGATTTCGCATGTCAACCGTGTGCACAGAGATATGCCGCGTGGTCATTTCAAGTGTCCTTCTAGCCAGGATATCACTTTCGCCAGCCAGATTTTTGCAACTATTACATCGGAGATGTGCCGTGCATAGGTTTAATTTCAATATATATATATATATATATATATATATATATATATATATATATATATATATATGGTAACGCGGTAAACTGGGCTCTTGGTTTCTGTTACTGAGTGACTTAACATTTATAATTACTATTTTGCGCCGGAACAATTGTACAGGCGCCTCCAAGTCGTGGCTCATCGCCACTTAATGTGGTGACGGCCTACGGTACGTAATCTGTTCTTATAATACTGTTCGTCCGAAGGAGCCCTGGTTTACCATAGTGTTTGTGAATTCGAGTGGCTGGTGATCCTCGTTACTTTGCATAGCTTAGTCACAATGCTAGGCATGTTGCTTATGTTGTTCCATGAGCTCAAGTCATCCATTTGCTCCCCTTTCAGTGGATTTGATCTTGACACTGGAACATTGACACATATTAAGCATCCTATTGCATCCTATTGTTTCTCAGTGTCTTTCGGACGAGTATGGGTCGCGGTTGAGAGAACGCGCGCTTTACTACGCAGCAGTGCGGCGTTGCCTCTCAGCATAGTCTTGGATGTGACTGTAGAAACTGCCTCTGCTGATTTTTGTGTACTCTTCGATACTGCCAAGCTACCACTGAGTTTGGCTTTTCTGATGAGTTTCGGCGAAGCCTAGTGGGAGGAAATGGATTCGGGGGAAATTGTTGCAAAAAGTCTAGCGTCAAATATCAAGAGGATAATGTGTCGTATGGTTGGAGGCTAACTCGGAGAGTGACATGTCAAGGCGGTCTACAGTTCATCCCTACTAATCCTCAAACTTCCTTTGTTGCCTGTTGAACTAAACCCTTGCGACGAGCACATAAGGATTTTATAAGTAGAAATTCGTCACATGTACTTTTAATCAGACAACCGTCACCCACTCAGGAAAGCACTGCATGTCTGTGTTTCATCATTTCAGTAATCGTCAGAAATGCGCATTCAACTTGGTCTTTGTAGGGGTCGAACCTGCAACTCGGCTGTTGCGAGTTCGTAGTTGACACCACTGAGCTATGAGGGCCGGTAACGACAATCGTGATATATAATTGCCCACTACCCACTGACTTTCACGTTATTATGCAGACGCGTGCCTCATGATTTAAGAGGAATGAAAATTCCTTTGTTCAGCGTCGGCGTAAGCTCAGTGCATCAACCCTTTGACAGAAGTATCAGAGCAACAAAATTTATCATTTGTTCCTCTCCCTGTAAAAAATGCTAATGGAAGGCATATTTGAATGAAAGTAAAACTACGTTATCGGCACGCAAGTACTACGTGAGCTCGCATTATGACCAATGGTGACAGACCGGAGGAAGCACAACGTGCAGTATTTAGCAAGTCGCAGATAAACTAAAACAAATAGGGGTGGGATATTAGTGGACCTCCCATTCATAATGATGGAACGGATCTGACTGGTGAATAAGTCAACTGATCCGACGCGATCAGAACTAGTAGGCTCAAATCAACATCGGCCCTCCTTCTGCACGCCTCTAAATACTTTCATTGTTCTAGTGAGTATTCCTGTCACTTTCTTACTACTGAGTCCCGATGGCCAAACGTACTGTTCATCACTTTGCATCACACCTACAGTTATGACCAAACTGCCGTTGCTAACACATGCTATGCACGCGAGCGTTGCCACAACCATTGTTTTTCGCAGTGGTTTCTAAACTTCACTACTTAACTTCGCCTTCCACAGCCTTAGGATGCCGATCTTAACAAATTATTCACTATTCTGTACCTGTATTTGCACAGTTTGATACATCTAGCAATTTTTTCGTGCTCTCTTTTTCGATCCAGGTGAAGAACCTCAACCTAGATCGCCTGTTCAGAAAAACGCACTGAAATCTGACATCAGTGATACTGATTCGACTGGGAACGATACCGGTGACTGTTTACTTTTCATCTTCTCATATGCGTTGCATCGTCGCTATTCACATTTTTATACTTATTGCATTTATGAAAATAAATCACCCTTAATTTTCCACTTAGCATATCTTTAGTGGCCTGATAATGAAATTACATGGGCTTTTAACAGATCGATCACAATTCAACCTTAGCAAATCATTGTTTTTACTACTCGGACTTAAAAAGAATATGAATGGTAATTTTGACACTCAATGAGAGTTGCATGGCATTGGATGTTGTTGCAGAATCGTCTTCTAGACACATCTAATGGTGTCACTGAGATACATTCCACTAGGAGCATCGCTTCACCGAATGTTGTATCGCCGATGCGTTCGAGGTGAAACGCCACTATAATTAGTGAAGATAATCGAGCCGTGTTTCTGCAAGGGCACTCATTCGTTGCTCACCGTCGGCTAACTGGATTTGGTTTTTACACATTAGCAGGCAAAATTGTGTCTGTTAGGTGGTTTCCTGTGGTATGCGCCTCATTCCTGACACGTGTAACGGCTCACTGCCCAGAATCGCCACGAAGATGCGTGGCTATGACTATCCGCAATCCTATCCTGAAGTGTTTACTCCTAATTGGGAAGGCAATTCCGATAGCGGGTGTATTTATTGTCTTTTTTACGAGGCATGCTCTTTTCGGCATGTTCAAACTTCACACGTTTCCTATCATATTTTCAGTATGTTCTACATGTTAGGCAGAAATACAAACCGTCTTTTTAACATTGTAGGTTATCCAGTTCAAAGCCTTGATTGGGCACAAAATAATTCATGGCATCTAGACGGAGTGTTCCTTGTACGGACCGAACCAATTTTCTTTCCCCTGAGTAAAGGATAAGTAGTAGTTATTTGGTGATAAGAGAAGCATTAAATCTGAAATAATGTTTATAGAATATGACATCCAACTCAGGCTGAACATTTTCCATACATTATGTAGTTCTAGTAAAGAGTAACGGAGGTAGCTATTAATTTTCAGTTCAGCAGCTGTACCTATGGGCCGAAACTGATAGAATGGCGAACGTGCTTGGTACTTGTCAACTGGCTCAGACATTTTCGTCTGATTGTACGCCTGGCGTAAGCGAGTAAAACGAAAATGAAAGCGAAATATTGGACATAAGGATAATGATGTTAGCAACAGATTCGGTTAGCTTCACCTTATCTCCTGAAATGTGTACGTGAGAGCAACTAGGAAGCAGCATACACGAGTAATGGAATAATGAATGGTAAAAGTGAATGAGGATGCATGGATTCAATCAGCATTTCCTTCTCACTTCTCACTTTTTGGTATGACTTGAAGGTAGGCTTGGCTGAGTAATCAAAATATAAAGAATGGAGACAAAATGGTTATCACAATCTGATTTCGCAATTCCTCTGGTGTGTCTGTGAGGTATGCTTTCCCGAGAAAAGAAGAAAAGAGAGTCGGGTATAGAAGTGTGACGTTTCTGTCAACTTTTCATCTTATTCCAACCCAACTCTTCAAGAGGGCGTGACCAATTAAATACACTGTACGTACCACATTTTCAGTATATTTGTAATCATCCCACTTTTGTCTTGGCTCCCTCCTCAAATAGCATTTTTTCCTTCTCATTTAGTTGCAACATCCGTTATTGCGCTGTCAGGCAGTTGTTCTTTTTAACATTCTTTTGTTCTTTTTAACATTAGTTGCGATTCGCATGCTCTTATTTTAGTAGGGAGTCTGTTCCAGATCTCAGTGTGTCTGTTAAAGTAGAATTTTCTTCGAACATTAATTTTCCTTCTGAACAATAGTAGTTTGTCCTTAGTCTTCCTAATTTTTTGTCTACCCTCTTGATTGAATTGAACATTGATATTTGTGCGAATACCCGCTTATGGACCAAGTCAATTAGGTATGTTAATCCTAGCTTCATGCGTCTTAGCCACAGTGGCTGAAGTTGTAGCATCTTACAGCTTTCAGAGTAGTTAAGTTTAAACGATGAGTTAAAGAGGGCCTTCATGACTAATCGATCCACGTTTTCTAGGCACATGCGGTCATGTTTCCTGCCTTTTATAAAAGTGTTCCAGCAGTACTCTAACGGGGCGAACGCTTGCCTTAAACAAGCGCAGTTTCACGCGGTGTCCCCTACCTACAAATGGTGGCTGCTTAGTGCTACAACTGTAGCTTCGAAGTCATTGACAACCACTGTTTTACACAGTGTCATGTGCTTGATGTCTGTAACCTTGGCTTCAAGGATCTTGAGCATGTGAAACTTTCAATTACGCAGATGTTCGTGCTTAGTTTGGTAATCGGTATTAACTAGAAGCACCGTAATTGCTGTGGCAGGCCAGCTACTCGACTCATGACTCAATCGACTTACGTAATCACCTTGGAATGTTCCTCGATTTGGACACTAAGGCTTCGAGGAATGCGCTTAAAATAGTTGTCTCCGTAGCTGCATACTAATTTGTATGAATAACAAGACGTGCAGTGTTTTTTCGTCCGTGCGTTCTCTGTGCATGTAAGTGGTGATCTCGAGGACACAAACGGCCGTAGCTCATCTGCCTCTTTTAATGACGCGCATACAGGTTTCACGTTGGTTTTCCTGATGTGGTCACCTTTGAACTGCACCTTAGTGAACACCGGTTTCTTTGGATCTTGTTTCATCGTATCACCGAAACGCCTAGTGAAATTGCCTTGTAGAGCCATTTGGGTTGTGGCGTTTCGGGTAGAAATTCTCTGCCACTGCTGTGCATAAGTAATATAACTTTTAGCCTCTCCTAGTTTTGAATCCTATGGACATAGCGTCTAGTGATAGGAAGTCATGACCTCGGAGGCTAGCCACTGTCATCTGCATGACAGTGGAAGATAGGTCGTGCTATATCTTAGTTAACTTGAAAACTATGTAGCCCATCCGACGTCCTCCATGGCCCAGTGGCTTAAGCTGCTTGATAATTGACATCTGCTTATAGCGGTCATGGGTTCGATCCCCAATAGGGGACCGAGGGAATGGGCGCCACTGACAAGCCACAATAGGTTAAGACGCGTATGGTGATTTTCCGAATAGGGATTTTGCTGTGTATCTTGTTGGCTGCTGGGACGAATACACTGCAACTACACCTGAACTCCTGCTACACAAAAGTTATCTGACCTTTTTCCTGTTCGGTTTTTTTATCCAGATAAACATCCCCGATGTAGATCGCCTGTTCAGAAGATCGAATTCCAAGCTTACATCAATGATACTGATTCGGTTGAGAATGATACCGGTGAGTATCTAATTTTCCTCTTATCATACACGTTACATCATCGCTATTCACATAATTATAATTGCGTTAATGAACAGAAATTACCCTCAATTTTCCATTTAGCATAACTTTAGAGGCCTGATCAGGAAATTACATGCGCTTGTAACAGATTGATCACAACTCATCCTTAGATTCTTGCAATGTACTGAGTTTAGTACCTGAATTTAAAGTAATATAAATGACAAATTTTGGGAATTCAATGAGAGTTTTGTGGTACATTAAGGTGTGACCAAGTGGTTTCTATGCACATTTAGAGGCATCGCTTCACCGAATCCTGTTTCGCCGATGCGTTCAAGTTGAAACACCATTTCAAATCTTTATGACTGTTATAATTGGTAGACTTAATGTAGCCGTGGTTCTTGCTAGAGTAATTATTCGTGGCTCCCAATCGGCGCTCTCCTCGTGTGCATTTCAAACCCCACTGAATTAGTTTTTCACGCATCAGCAAACCAACTTTTGTCTGTTAGGTGATTTTGTGTGGCAGGCATCTCATTGATTCATTTGTAGCAGGATACTTTCGACAGTAGCTACGAATGGGCACTGCTGAGAGTATCAGCCATTCTACCATCGACACGAAATTCGGATAGCGGTTGCGTTTATAGGCTTCTTCTCCTTGCCACTACATTATCCCAAAGCGTATCGCGGAGACTGCTGGTGCAGTCGCCATCAGATTGACCCAAACTGTATTGTGCGAACAGGTGGCTCTCGTACAAGCTCTCCTTTTTCCTTGATTTCGCGGTCTTTGACGCCAGCAGCGTAGCGTCGGTTGTGGACGTGCCGTGATTTAATCGGCATGTGTAGTTAGACTTAATCGCTTGTAGCTTACTTATGTCTTATCCGGCCTTCATTATCTTTTGCCTACTAGGTCGATTCAGCTGGTCATTTTATAAACAGACTATGGTGTTCAATTCCCCATATCATCCTTTTGTCCAATTATATTCCCCGTTGTCACTACAAATGCTTTTATAACCAGAAAATATCGTTTGCAAGTATTGACTACACTGTAAATGTGTCATTCACAGGTGTAGTGTCAAGCTGCTTCTGAATTGGCTGCAGACGTTAAACTTGACTATTGGTTACTGTCACTAATTGACTTGACATTTTTGTTGCGCTTTAACTATTGGCTCATCATCACTGATGGCGTGTTGTACATAATCTTTTCTTCGAACGTGTATACTATCTGCTCTGTCGACGACACATTGGCTAATGAGGCGTTTATTTATTGTACATTCTTTTCAGAAGTGTCGTTGGACAAAATCTAATTAACCCCCCCCCGTGAAGGAGCCATGCAACCTGTTGGAAAAGTCCCTCACTTCGCATTTAGGTCACAATATGACTTTTATGTTTGTTTTTGATACATTTACCTCATTGTACCTGCTTTTATCTTATGTCTGTGATTAAATCCTTTTACAATATCCAGGATGATCTCGTTTGCTCGAATGGTCGGTTTCAGGTGCAATAGTGGGAACTCTTTTCGTTCAAATGAGACGCATTTCTCATTGTAATTTCTGGTGCTTGTATTACGCATCGATCCCTTTAGCTGTCACTTGCTTCAGTATACACAACGCACATATTGACGGGAATACCTGTCATTGGTATCCTAAGTCATTACACCGCAACTGCTGTAACAAGCGTTCCCGCGAATCGCATTTATTTATCTTGTCTATCTACATCTGATGCGTCTTTGGCTTTAATGTCTACCCGGAAACCTTTGTCCCACTAGTGCAAACAAGAGGAACCCGATTTTTGAGCGAGCGACGCTTGCCACCTACCTTTCGATCAAATAGACCGAGATATGCCTCGAACTTTACCACTATCCAACTTGAGCTTACATGCCGAAGCTACGCTTTACGGTTCACTTCAGTTGAACAACTATGATCCAGCGGGCACTGAAGTGCGGTGGATCCAGTCGGCACGACTCACATCACCAGAGTAACAATGAATAGTAACGGTGGTACATAAGTGAAGTTAACCGCAGCTGGAATACAAAGCACATTAAGCCAAGAAAGAAGTGCGCAAAATTAAACTGGATTAAAATTTAGCGGCTAGATGCAAAATAGCAAATGCAGGCACTCCGCTGACTGCGCGCTTGTGCCATGTTTGATAGAGCCTTCAACTACTGGTGTGGACAATCTCGGGCCCCATCCACGAACTTGACGCAAACCAGCCTGACGAAGTCTCTGTGTATTTCTTTATGCCACGTCATCGATTGGCCACCGCGTGGTTTCGCTCACGTTGTTGCATCGACACTGTATAACGCTCGCGGAGAACGTCGGTCAATGAGCATACGAATGATATGACTAAGCCAACCTACGCGGCAAACACCAGCATTGCTCACCCAGTATTCCCACCAGATGGGAACGATACTCTGTACCTACCGGTAATCGAACAGGTACCCTATAGACCTACCTGTGCTCTTCTTTTAATCCATCGTGTTATGAGATAGCAGATGCATGGATGTAGTAGTTTACGTAGTAGTAAAGCGCTTGGGTTCCGTCGGTCTGACAAGTGATCGTGTCGGTGAATTTTCTCACGTGCATTCCGTCACCCTTTGAAAAGCACAAAACTGCTGATCGAGGCTGCTCCTGTGGTCTGTGAAGCCGATCCCCCGGGGCTAACTCGACGCCACTAGGCCCAGAGTTTTCCAGGGCTCTCTCTAAGATGTCATTCATAGTGAAGTTGAACAACAAGGGTGATGCGAGACACCCCTGTCTCAAGCTAGTAGTGGCACTATAAGAGGCGGAAGTCCGCCATACACTTTCACCTGACCCAAGCTTGGAGGGTAAATGGTTTGGCATATGTTACTATACCTCACAGGCACTCCCTTTCTCAGCTGACAAGTTCGGAAAGCAGTTCTGTCAAGTGAATAAAATACTGCACGTACGTCCAGGACGCAATCAGTGGTAGGCCGGCTAAATGTACGACGGTGCTCACCGTCTGACGGATCGTAAGGATGTGATCGATACAGCCCCGACCTGGGCGAAGCACAGCCTGTTTACGTATGTGCTGTTCGCCTACCCGACTGAGCCTCCTAAAAGCACTTTGGACACAACGCATAGAAGACTGATCCTTCAGTAGTTTGCGCAATCCGTTCGCTCACTTCTTTCGAAGATTTGCACAGTGTCCGCTAGACCCTTATCGGAGGGATGATTTCTTTGGCCCAAATCTCTGGAAGGAGGGTGGTCAATTCATAAAGGAGAAAGGGGCATTCATCCTTATACAGAGCCGGAGGCAGTTCCTCGGGAGATTTGTAGCGTTTCAGAGGTCGAAGCTCATGGGTAACCTCGTCCATAGATGGCGGAGAGGTGTTTACACACCAGGCAACTCGAGAGCAATGATGGTCATTTGAACTGCATTCCGAAATGCTCTGCCAAAGGTAAAAATCGGCGCTGGTGATTGGGAATTCACCTACCACCGCTTACTTTTGTATTTTTTGCCACCGGTAGATCCGATAAAAGAGAAGTTCCCTGAAGATGCGGCATGTTCCTTATCGATGATACGCTGCGTCCACCTGGCTTCGCGATCTTTGTTTATGAGCTGTTTGAGCTCGGTGTTGGTAGCTCTGCGCAATGAGTTATACTCAGAACTAGCAGGAATTGTCCGGCGGTCTTTCGTTAATTAAAGTACTCGAGCGGGAATCCCTCGGTCGAAGTTTGGCTTAGTAGAACCGCAAATGACGCTGGTGGACTTTTGTATGGCACTCCAAATACGTGTCGAGTGCGCCTCAACACCTACTAGTTTAGGACTCTACAAATTAAAAGCTATTAAGTTCTCAAAGGCACTGGAAATATTTGAAACGATAAGTTTGACTAGGTCAAGCCGTTTCCGATGCCGCTGTTGGGTGCCATCAGAACAGAGGGCAACATTAGCACACACAAATGCGTGATCACAGGTACATAAGTACTCCTAATTGATTTGAAGTCCGTTCTACAGCTTCGCCAACAGTAACTGATGGCGATGTGGTCAACGTGCATCCACGGCTGTCCAGGCGAAGGAAAGCGCCATGTGACGCACTGGCGCCAGGAGCGCCGAAAGTTTATGCTCACATGGAATAGACCGTGGTCAGCACAGGGCTGTGGATAGCGTTGTCTCTCTTGCGAGTACCATAACTATGCAGGCCACGGATGTCACCTTCTTCAACATCGAGTCTCCAGCTGCACCACGATATCCGTGCGGCGTTTCTTACGCAGCAAATCGGAAAGCTGATGGGAAAATTCATATTTTGCTGAGCCCTGTCACAATCCGAGGGGTTATACACTGCTACGACAAACAAAGAGCATTTGGTAATCTGGTGGCTTGACGGTCGAACAGAACGTTCTAGACCAGTCGCACCGAGTCGGCTCTTAACTTGAATCCAATCAAGTAGTTCAGCTTTTGTGCGCACGCTTAACGCAATTCCCACACCGGCCAAACTCGCGACTTCAGCAGTTGCATCTCCGGATAAATGTGGTATGAACATACTGTAGGGGTAAGTATAAGGTGGTGTCAATCCTAAGCTTGTGTTGTAGTCCTACAAGCGAGTCTCAGCTTGGCAGCCTATGTGACGCAGAGGGTTTCCGGACTGCGAGTAAGGACTGTCTGCGACCTTATCTGCATAGGCGTCCACACATTTAAGGCGGCCAAGTTGGATTGTGAACGGTGCTAGAAAGGTACTGCTTTCGCGATTACATGGCATATAAACGGTCTTGAGCTGCTCATCGACCCAGTTAAAACTGTCCTTCAATGTGGAACGTTTGTCCGAGACCCGATATCAGAAGCTGGTCACCAAGAATGAGTGAATTCTACAGACGTGAGACAACACATGTACTAAGTGGTGCGGTAGAGCATGGTATAGCGGAGTCGGCCGCCTGTACCTCGGCCGAGGTAAGCGAAAGCAGAGAGCGTAGCTAAAGAGCAGAGTTACGTGTGCTCGTGTTCATGTGTTGTGTGGGTAGACAGCATCCCGGTTACCCAGACTGAGGGAATCGCTCACTTTACATTAGATCTTACGATACGACCGACTCTGGTAGAGTTCCGTTAGCGCTATGTGACACGTTTTACGCTGATTTAAACAACTTAATGAGGGACGGTGTGATAGATAATGTCGGCGAATCAGCCAACTGCGTTAGCTAGGTTGCGATCATTACCAAGAAGGCGGGTGGACTGGGCGTGTGTATTGACCCGAAACCGCTGAATAAGACCATGTGTAAAGAGCACTATGCGCCACCTACCCTGGAAGACATTTTGCGGCGCCTGATCAAAGCTGTATTTCACAAAGGTAGACCTGTCTTCCGCATTCTGGCACGTGGTTCTAGATGAAGCATCCAGTTTCCATACTACGTTTGTCACACCGTTCGGGCGTTATCCTTGGCTGCGTTTACCGTTTGGGTTGGAGGTTTCGATGGAAATTTTTGAAAAGCGGTTGGTGCAAGCGATGAATGATTTTGATGGTGTAATGTGCGACGCACCATGTTTTGTTCTACGGCTCGACGGGAAATGAGCATGACGCAGATCTCCACCGTTTCTTGCAACCTTGTGTGCAAAAGAACATCAAGCTCAGTCGAGAGAAAGTCAGACTTCGGAAAGACGATAGGATTTTCTATGTACGTGTGCTAACAACTCAATGGATCAGCGTCGGTCCAGGAGAAATTATGGCAATACCAGAGATTCCGCCTACTATTAAAGTGAAGTAAATTCATCTTTCGAGTTGTATGGTGAATTATATGGGCCGTTTTTTTATGCCAATACTTGCTGTCATCATGACGCCGATCCGGAAGCTAACCCACAAAGGATTAAAGTAGATTTTGAGAAAAGTACAAATCCTTATTTCAACCATTAAGCGTTTTAACGGCATCGAGCCTATACTTGGATATTACGCTGCAGTGCGGCCTCTGAAGTTACAGTGTGACAATAGCCACAACAGAATGAACGCTGCTCTACTGAATGGAAAACCTTTGGATTTTCGCTGTGGAGCACTCGCAGTGGCCGAACTACGTTATAGGTGGATTGAGAAGGAGACTGTTGTCGTAGTCTGTGCGATGGAGAGGTTCGACCATTATACTTCATTATTTGTAACTTGTATGGGAATTTATTAGTTTTTTGTGAAGATTTGTCGCCGTTAGACTCAGGCAGACACCCACTACTCATCCAGAAAAGCGCTAGACGGCAGTTTTGTTCCATTGGGGCTCGTCAGTAACATGCACCGGCTGAAGAAAAGCAACTGTATGCCTAACATAAACCGCTTGTATCGAAGCCACTAAACCGTTGCACATCGTTCCTCGTC